CTTCCTATAAGCTGTTTGCACGTCAAGGGGGACTCCAGAGCATCGTGACTCAGGAGCCTAACTGGTCACGTAGCCCCTCAATCCTTGGTCTGTCCTAGTCTCCGGTCGGCCCAACAGCGGTTGAGGTATGCGCAGGGCCGGGCTCTGCCGACGCAGAACACAAAGCAAATAGGAAGAAAATCGCAAAATGTCGAAACAAATATTACAAGGCATATTGTTCTCACAATATCAAATAAAGTTTATCGCCTCCACAAGGCCTGATGCATATTGCAGGAATGAAACAGGAAAGCAGCCGCAGGTCACCCCTGGACACCGCCATCGCCTGCGGAAGGTGCTCCTCCCTTGGTAGCATCGCCTTCACCCGCACCACCAGCCGCAGGATCGGTGGCATCGCCGGTCGAGGGCGCAAGGACGAAGCCGCGAAACTTCTTCAGCAGGGCCTCTACCTAACCTTTCATGGCTGCGGCTGCGGCGGCGGCCGCACAATGTTCATCAGCTACAGGCTCCAGCAGCTCGTTGAGACGAGCATTGGGGTCGTGAAGGTACAGATGGCTGAAGACACGCGTCAGCGCAGCTGAAGAAAGGACACGAGCCTCTATGTCAGCCATGGGACCGATGCCCTCCACGACTTCCTCAAGCGCCTTCACCAAGTGGGGAAGCAGCTGAGCAGGGCCATCCTCGTCGGTGGTCAGCGGCTTCTCCAGGCCCTTCTCGTACAGTGACTTCAGCGCCACGCTGGACCTCTTCTCAAGAAGCGAGAAGAACACGCGGTCTTCAGCCAGGACCTTCGCCTTGGCGTCGAGCTCGGCCTCCCTCGCCTTCGCCTTCTGCTCCAGCCCCTCCAGTCGACTGCGCTCTGTGGCCTGCACTTCGTCAGCTCCCCCAACTCGGCGTCATGGCCCTTGATGGCGTCCTCCCGAGCCTTCATCTCCTCCTCCCTCGCTTCGCGGTCACGTGCTTCTTTTGCGTGCTCGTCGTGTAGCCTCTTCAGCTCTCCCTCTAGCTCTCGGCAGCAGTCACGGGCGGCCTCGGCGTCCTTCAGCGCCGCCTCGCGATCGGCCACAGCTCTAGCGGTGGCCTGCTTCTCCTTCTCGGAGGCCGTTGTGGCCTGGCTCAGTGACACTCGAACTGCCGAGTCAGAGTGAAGCCAGCCCGAGGCCAGCTCCAGGCGCCCGGCCACTAGGTGCGGGTCCGCGCCTAGGAGGTCTTCCCGCAGCTTAGTCATCCCCGAGAAGACACGCTCCAAGACTGTGGAGGAGGCAGAAGAACTTGGGGCCAAAGGTGCAGCAGCAGGAGGAGGCGACGTCATTACCAGAGCCTGGAAAATCGAGGGCTCCGGAGCCCTTGGGACCTCATCAGCAGAGCCGGGTGTTGGCACTTCCGGAGCCAGCGGGGCCACGGGGGCTGATTCATCCTGCCGATGCTCCTCTTGGCCTCACGAGGGAGACCGGGCTGGGGAGGTGCGGGTGATGTCGCCTCTCTTCTCCGCAGAGGAGGGCACGGCCGCGACATACCCTTCCTCTTCTTCGCTAAAGACACCAGTCTGATCAACCAAGGGCGAATGTTAGAAAATGGCAAGCACAAGCAGGAACAAGACAAAGCTCGAAGCACTTACTGATCCACTGCGACATAGTCCACCTTCCGCTTGGGGAGCCTGAAACCCAAAAACGTTGGGGCCTCAGGAGTGGGCACACGGGCTCCGGGGGCACAATACGGTGCAGCAGAAGGGCCGGAGCCGGCCCCAGGCGGTGCCAAGTCGGAGGCAGCATCTCGAGAGACCAGCGACGATCTACCCCTCGTCGGGATGAGGGGCAGCCCCCTCTCCTCCAGGCGGGCGTCGGCCTCGGCGTCGTCTGGCAGAGCGCGGAGGATGTCGGCCTTGCTCAAGGGGGAGTTCTCCCCCATCCCCTCGGGGGTCTCCTCCGAGTCCTCGTCCCCCTCTTCCTCCCCGCCGGACTCGTCAGAAGACACCTCCACTGGCTTCGGCGTTGTAGAGGCCCCAGCAAGCGCCGGCGGCACCAGCCCGTGCGCGTCAAAGGTCGGCCTGGAGGCAACGAATTGCTCCGAGTCCTTGTGATGGAACAAAGGAACAAAGGCGCTCGGCGGGTACTCTTGGTTATCCCCAACCAAGAGGCGCAGAACTGCAGTCAGCTCGTCATAAGGCAAAGCCACCGGGCTCAGACGAATCTTGTCTTCTTCATCCCCAAGCTTCCACAAAGGGCGCGCGCGCCTGAAGTGGAGCAACGCGCAGCGCCAAGAATTCCTTCAGGAGCATGGCCCCCGTCACCTTGGCCGCCTTCGCATTGCCCGGCTTCAAATCGATCTTCATCTGCTCCAGCACCGACGACGCTCGCTCGTCGGTGAGCTCTACACGAGACCACCCCTTGTCAGACCGGTGCGCCTCCGTCGGTAGTTCCAAGCGTGGATGGACGCACTTGGCACTCATCATGACCCATTTGGCCCTGATGTTGTCAACCCTCTTCCCGGTGTTCGAGATCGAGTTGGCCTGGCCGGCCGCGATGAAGTTGGCACACCCGGAGATATGGCCGCCGGTGAGGCGGAGGAAGAAGAAGTGGCGCAGCAGTGCCACGGACAGCATCACGCCCAGGTACGCCTCGCAATAGTAGGCAAAAATAGACAAGAGAAGAATGGAGTTGGGATGGAGATGCAGCGCCTGCAGCCCGAAGTGGTCGAGGACCTCGAAAAAGAAATCAGAAAGGGGGGGAACTAACCCGGCGGCCATGCTGCTCGTGAAGAAAGGGAAGAAGGTGCTTCCCTCAGGCTCCGGCTCGTCGGAGGCAAGCCGGAGCTCCGTCTTCCCCCTCTTGTTGCTCTCCCCCGCCGTCAGCAAGCGCGTGGCAACTAGGTTCTTCTCCGTAACGTTGGGCGCATCAAGGGCTGGCTCGAACCAAGCCGGCGCCAAGGAGGACTTGACCTTGCGGGGCGCCATTGGTCGCAGATGCGGAGCAAGGTTGGAACAGATCTTGAGGTTTCGATGGCAAGGAGCGAGAAAGGGGACCTGGAGCAAGGCGAGGAAGAAGCAATGAAGGCAAACACTGTCTGCGCTAGCCTTTTTGTCAAGTCGGGAAGTTGCCGAGGCAGCGTGGGGAAGCGGAGACATCCGCCTCCAATCAACCGCCACGCGTCAACCGAGGTCGCAGGTTTTTGGCGCCCGCGGCGCTCCGCACTTGACCTTTGACTTTGCCTCGAAACCAAGCCCGAGCGCGCCTTGGGCCCGGGGGCTACTGTCGGTGTTCTAGGAACGGGGGTCCCCAGACTTGCCTGCCTACGGCCCACGACGTGGCTGAGCTGACAGGCCCGTACGGCCCATCTTCATCAGCAAGGCATTCAAGACCCTCGGGAAGGGGCCAAGCCTCGCGAGGCGGACGGCGCAAGACCTCCTCAGGAGCGGCCTCGCCAGGCAGGCTCACGAGGGGCGGAGAAATCAAGGCAAGGCAAACCTCGCGAGGTTGAGCCATGACGATCGAGACCAGGCGGGCGCCAGCGCGCGCAGCGTCCTTGTTCCCTCTTTGGTGCTAGGGGGCAAGTGCAGGCGCGGAGTACCGAGGCATCAGGCAAAGGTTTCCATATCGGTGCAACGAGACCAAGACCAAAAGGACGGCAAGATGGAGGTCACCGTGGAGCCCAAGACGGCGTCATCACCAGAGCCTTTTGCAGGCGAAGACCGCTTTTGTCGGGATAAGCTGTACTAGTTGTCCCCTTTTAAATTGGTCGTTGTTGGCTCCCTTTCCGCTCAATATTTGGGAAGAGGACCAGGGCCTATATAAGTACAAGTAGCCACCATAGT